TTAAGCCTATAGTGTTACAGATGTGATTTAGTTTAGCCTATAGTGTTACAGATGTGATTTAGTTAAGCCTATAGTGTTACAGATGTGATTTAGTTAAGCCTGTAGTGTTACAGATGTGATTTAGTTAAGCCTATAGTGTTACAGATGTGATTTAGTTAAGCCTGTAGTGTTACAGATGTGATTTAGTTAAGCCTGTAGTGTTACAGATGTGATTTAGTTAAGCCTATAGTGTTACAGATGTGATTTAGTTAAGCCTGTAGTATTACAGATGTGACTGGCTGCAATTTGTAAATAAGAGATAAAATTGTCTACATAATTAGTTAATGAGAACTGTATACAAGTACACAGAGAAAACTAGGTGTATTCAAATCTTGAGGATAGATAAAGAAACTCTAATTTGTGTGTTCTTTAAAATTCAATAAACACAACATCTGATATTAAACTTGAAAATACATTCTTGAACCCTGGCACAAACAGATTATCTTTTAAAACAAGTAACTGAAGGCTAAAGAACGCATTACTACAATCCAAAATCTCGATATATTTTTATAACTAGGTTTATCTTACCTTTTCAATAACTGATGCACGTCGTTTTTCAACTTTGAGAATACTGGCTAGGTCCCCAATGTTGGACTCAAATTCTAAAAACCTGTTCCAGATCTCACTGAAAAAAAAGTGTTTCAGACAGAAATACTAAGTACTTCTGCTACTATCTATCTGATATATATTATTAATGAAATTAAAACAGATTCATACAAAATGTGAAATATTGAAACCATAAACTGTCTGTGAATAATATACTAAATGAAAGGTTTAAGTCGTATGATTGTTAAAAGATCAAAAATGACAAAATGTACAGTTTTGTGAGAGAATTTTGACTTTTGTATTTAATAGGATTATTTTCCAATACCAATTCAAAGTAGAAAAGATCCAACTGTATAGTTTATTCAAAATAAACTACACAGAAAGTTTAAGAAATTAGTCTTAAAAGCTTTTAAGTTCGTTTCAAAAACATGGATAAGATATAAAAGTTATTTTATAAACATTGTACAAACTCACACAGACTTCTCAGATGTAAGACTACCAGAGGTAAGGACTCTTTCAAACAGAACCCTGGTGTTGTTATCTTCTGCAGAAAGAAAATATTAATTTTAATAAAAGTTTTAAAGCTCTCTTTAAACTTACTACTTCTAGTTCCATACAATTTTACACGAAACTAAGAATATATTTCTCATAAAAGCTGATCCTACTCTTTGTAGACCTTTTTGTCTACTAAGAGCCACCTATGATAAAGAAAACACAAAGTGCCAGAAGGTTAGATTTTTAATGAATCTGTGGAGAAATAAAAAAACCATCATAATTAGCTCAGTTCCAACTACACATTATGGGGTAATAACATTACTCTTCCAAGACTAATCCAAACTTAATATGAAGAGAATTACAGGGAGTCATATCTGCCAAGCTTTACACAAGGACGTACGAAGATGGCCGTCAGTAATTAAAACTATTTGTTACACTGATAAAGTATATATATGGAGGTAAAAACCCCACTGAAACCCAGAATGCTAATGGCATATCGTTCTGGTAATTAAAACGTTCATTCATGTAGATTTTGTTATAGAAGTGTCATTAATATTTAACATCAATGATGTTGACAGTGTATCTGTTGACTTATTACAAGTGTCATCAATCTTTGAGATGTGTAATGGTGACAGTGTATGAGTTGACTTATTACAAGTGTCTTTAATCTTTAACAAGTGTAATGGTGACAGTGTATCAGTTGACTAATTACAAGTGTCTTTAATCTTTAACAAGTGTGATGGTGACAGTGTATTAGTTGACTCATTACAAACGTCTTTAATCTTTAACATGAATGGTGGTGACAGTGTATGAGTTGACTTATTACAAGTGTCTTTAATCTTTAACATGAATGGTGGTGACAGTGTATGGTTACCCTAGTTTTAAAACAGAGTTTGATGCTTCTGTTAAAGAACCAAAAAAGTAGCTATTAACATAGTTACCCTAGTTTTAAAACACAGTTTTCCTAGCTATAGTCTGACCAATCAAATGAGAGTTTTGTTAAGTCACTTGATTGCCAAACGTAAGTGTGTCGTTAGGAAATAATTAGATGCCTTCTGAAGTTGACTTGTAACAAGTAAACTTTTTGACATATTTCAGGATAAAAATATTGCATTTAAGATATTTGAACTTGGACTGAAGAAGTATGGAGATGAACCAGGCTACATATTAGCTTATGTTGACTATCTTTCACATTTAAATGGTAAGTTTGAAAATCAATCATCATCCAGTTATCAGAGTTATTAGTAACACAGAGTGTAATTAGTCAACTTATGTTAATAGCTACTTTTCTGGTTCTTTAACAGTCGATTGATCTCAAGTGTGCGTGTGTCACATGTAACAGAGTTTGATGCTTCTGTTAAAGAACCAGAAAAGTAGCTATTAACATAGTTACCCTAGTTTTAAAACAGAGTTTGATGCTTATGTTAAAGAACCAGAAAAGTAGCTATTAACATAGTTACCCTAGTTTTAAAACAGATTTTGATGCTTATGTTAAAGAACCAGAAAAGTAGCTATTAACATAGTTACCCTAGTTTTAAAACAGATTTTGATGCTTATGGGCTTACTTTGCTACAGTAGTATTCCATTAGAGGCTTACTTTGCTACAGTAGTATTCCATTAGA